TTTGCCATTGCCATAAGCTGAAAACAAAAGAGTCAATTATTAAATATTTTATCAAAACGAAATAACAATTATTCATACCTTCTATGTACTTCTCGAAATTCGGTGGTACCAAATTCTTTGCTCGTTCGATGTCTTCGTGTGAGCACTCGCCCTTGTCCAAACCTTTGCAATCAAAAATTACAATAATAATAGAAGAATAAGCTGTTTAGGCACATATTTACAAACATTTAAGGTTAATTATAATACAATGATACATAAATGATTGCATAGTAATAATATGATGTATAACCGCTGCATCTCTCTCAAATTAAGTATTTATAAATATAACAATTAAGTTTGCAACTTACCTCCAAGTAATCCCATGCGTTTCAGTACTTGGGCGTCATCGTGCATCTCGAATTGATCATCAAATTTGAAAATGTACTCGGATCTAGTAAAATTTATAGGTTGAATTTTATTTGCAAAAGAGAATTTTTTTTCAAATTGTACTCACTTGTCATTCGTAACGCTGCAATTAATTTTTGTTGATTTGTGCGTATTTACTATAATAAAGGGTAGCTGTATGGATGAATTGGGTGTTGGCACATTGCCTTGCCGTTCCGCTTCCTTATTGCGTTCGATTAAGCTCTTGAAAGCGACTTGGTGCAGCAACAGCTCATTTAGTTGTTGATGTTTCTGTTGTATGCGTTGGCGACACTCTTCATTTTGTCTTTCCAGCTCAGAACATTGCTTTAAAAAATTTTATTCATTAATAGCAACATCAAAATAGAGACAGGGCAGCTTACCTCAGCTGAGTTTGATGGCAAGCCTATCCAACGTATCTCCTTTTTGTCTTTTGATATTATTTCCATGGCCATAAGAACGTTGAGCGCATCATAAACACGCCGACGTATATTCTTTTGATCACAGTTTGCTGAATCTATGGAATTCATATGTAGTTCCTCGGCAACCAATTCATCGGCCACTTCATTATATGTTGTGACACCCTTTTCCTTGACTTTTTCACAAACCTTAAGAGCAAAATGTCGCAACCCTTTACCCGCTTTTTCAGGCTTGCGTTGCCTTCGTGCCGAATTAGAATGTGGGCTACTAGTGCTGTGTCTATTAGAAATACAGAATGGTTTATAATTACTTTTACAGATTAAAATTAAATGATATAAAGTTACTTACAGTTTTGATTTCATTTTTATATTAGTATTTGGTGTATATTTTGTATAACGCTCCTCCGTTTTGATGGTGACCTAAAATTATATGTTACTAATTATATGTTACTAAATAATTTATTGCAATTATTGCGCTTACCGTGTCTGGCGTTTCGTACTTAATCGCTGTGAATGTCGGCTGATGTTTGCCGGCACTGCTTTGAGTTGATATAACGGTATATGTATTATTACCTAAAGATCAAACATATTTTTTTAGATTTTTAAATTAACTACTAGTAACATTAAAACTTACTATCGCCACTTTGTAAATTATATCGGCTCAAATATTGTTGTTGACTTGAAGTAGCCTAAAGTGAAGCATAATCAAAAATAAATGTGATTAAAGTCATCAGTAAAGTAAAAAAAAGTTCTAAGTGGACTTAATTATATATTTTATATATACACACACACATGTATCGACAGCTGGTTCTAGCATACCGGAATTGACACGGATTATATCCGGCCACGGGCTGTCATTTCGACCACCTAACGCTCCTTGGAACCGGTAAATATTTTAAATAAAAACATATTCGCAAAATCTAAACGTGCATGAGTTTAACTAAACTACCATTAAATGATATTTGGGGAACATTTTTTACACCATACGCCACACATGCTTAAAAATTTGTATAACATATGTATGTAAAAGTATATAAATATATATACATATATACATACATACATTATGTTCATCTTCACCCATGCACATTTGTATAAAGAAAGAAAAAAAGTATATTTTACCAGCTGATTATAGCCAAAATAATAAACTTGACGCTTGGCGTGGCGTAACAGCACTGCGCATGCTTTTATGTTATATTAGGCAGCCTGGCACAATTACCTCAGAAGGTAGTGCGCCAATTTAGTAAACAGACGCACAAAACTCACTACGAACTCATACATGTATCTCAAAAGTGCATTTAACTTTAGTTTGTCAATTCTCACGAACTATAGAAGCACTTGCCATTTTTGCTCCCTTCATTTATTACTTACCACCTGTGTGTATGAGCCCGCGCTGGAGTTACGAGAACTGCCACTTGCGTTACCGAGTGTTTCCTGCTTTATATCCTTTGGACTCAGTATCTTCACAAGCTTGCCTGTAAACAGAATAACATTTATGTGATCATCCGTACACATAGATACACAAATAAATGTATGGTAGGTGTATGAATATGTAAGTGTATGTGCAATACAACTAACGAATGCGGTAGCGAAAACAAAATATGTAGTAGCAATAGATTTATGTATGGTAAGAATCATCGTGGCAACTAACGAAATAACATCATAGCTGATAAAAATTAAACAAGTTAGCTGCTTATGAGTCTCTATGCAAAACTTGTGTTATTCCTCCTTAAATTATTTAACTATTTAAAGTAATATATGGCGCACAAATTTTCCTGGACTAGCAATTCACAATTCTCTATTCGCATACAAAAAATTACTTACGCAGCACACGTTTGTAACCAGGAGACGACGTTTTGTGTTCATTGTGGGCTGCTCCAAGTTATATACGACATATTTCAAATATACTACAAAATAATTATTTGGTGCATTTAGAAGTCAATAGTCTGTAGTTTTCAAAGCTTAGAATGTCAGCGCCTCTTTATAACGCAGTATCAATGGTTAGAGCTAGTCAACAACAGAAGGCAAACAAAACACGCGAGTAATAAATTCGGCGAACTGGGAGATATAAATTTTGATGCCTACATTTTTAAGCAACTAGCTTAATTAGGGTGGCAGTGTCAAAAAATTTCAGTCTCCATATTTCATACCATACCTAGATGAACTGTTTGATTTAAATATTTTTAATGATTTGCTATTAGAAGTTTGCACAATATTTATCAAAAATAGCAAAATCTTGTAATAAAAATGTAATTCAGAAAAATTGATACTTATTGACAATAGAACAGCTGAAAAAATTGATATACTACCAATAAATAAATTAATTTCTATAATTTGCACATATTTTTGGAAGAAACTTGAAATTTAAAAACAAATTTTACGAAATATCAATGCGGCAAGCAGAAACTATGCATAAATGCGGATACATTATATTAAAGGCATTACATCGATTGTCATGTAGTGACAACGAACCATATTTAGACTTAACTTTCAAAGTTGTCTAAATTATTAACTACTATAAACTTTTTGTAATCTGGATACTGCACCTATTCCTTGTCACCGATTTGCTACATTTCCTTTTCCGCTTTGTGTTTTTATTGCGTCTCTCTTTTCCCAGTATTATTCATTTTTCTTTTACCTTGTACGACATGCAGGTCTTTTCTGATTTAAGTGATTCTCACCCTCTTCTTGACCGCACAATTCACATTTTATTCATATGCGAGCCGCCTAGCACGATCTACACACTACCAAAAATCATCACAGGCATGAACAAATAACAACAGCAATGCGACCTCAACTGCCAACACGAGCACTGAACCCAAGGTAACTACTTAACTTCGTTGCACCGCCGACAACCACTTACTGTAGTTTCTACAAAACTCAATTGTATCCCATCCGTAAAGGATTATCAAAAGTAGTAAAGTAATCCTCTAACTCACCATTTACATCCTGGATTATACAGTTGATTTCACTTGTCGCCGATGCGGCAGCGGCTGAAGTTGTTGCTGTGACTATAGTCGCTGTTGAATGCGCCATTTTCGTTTCGTTTTATCGTTGTCTTTTCTTCGTCTTTTGCTTTTTTATCAGTTCAATTTCTACTCCACCGTCCAGACACCTACGCACCGTAAAAAGCCAAGACTATAGACTAAGAATTGCGTGTAATCACGCCCCAATGCTCAGAGGATATTATTGCCGTCGCCTATGGTTTACCTTTGAGCTCTTGTAGTGGCTTCAAGTTCTTCTGACCGTTTATTGTTTATTATCGATATCTTCCCGCCTCAAACTCACCTACCAGCAAAGGCAGTATATTATCTCACGATAATCCGCGAAAAAGAGTATAAATGCAAATGCCTGAAAGGCGAAATTTCACACCTTTTTGGCGCTTTCCAAATATTGGAAGATCACAATATACAGACTTCTATTTTCAGAATTTCCTCTTCAGTATATGCCTTTTTGTCGTATTGGAGGCAGAAAACTTTTATTCGACTCAAAATGGCGAGAGCAGCAGCAGCGGCAATTCGAATTCCCCACCACAGCAGCGCTTTTTTTTCTACCCGCACACACACCACACACCGAAAAATGCGATTTTTTCCAGCCAATTTTTACCCACTTACCCGGCACCGATTTTTATCAGCTTACTTGCAAAAAATTCACAAAATTCTAAATTTTACAAATTCTATATTTTTAAATTAATCACTTAACGTTAACTTTATGAAATCTTTGCACAAATTTAGCCTTAAAAAAATCGTATGTGGAAAACGCGACTTGCGATACTTTCGACGTGCTGCAGAAAGAGTAAGCAAATGGGCATGATAGAGGCGGAAAGCGCTCAGCTGATTATAGCGCGCCAAAGCGACCAAATCACGCATCTGGCAATGTTGTTTCTTTTCTGTGTATAAAAGGGATATTTCCTATTAATTAGCAAAGAACGTAAATAAATATTATTAAAAATTTATTCCATTAAACCAGTCTGGAACAGATATATGTTTGCTAAACACTAGGTCGTTCTTAGGTAACCAATAAATGATATTTTGCGAAGAGTATATCATAAAAATGAATATTGCCGCAAGTTTCTCCCTGTAGTGAAAGAACCAATGATGAATTCCTAACGATTTTGATCGTCGTTATACCCATATATGGGCAGTATTGCAGGTATGCCATCAATATAACAAATTTTATATATTTTATTTCTATTACAACTAAAAGTTTATTACAGGTTACATAGTTTTCATCAAATAGTACTTTACAATCTGACTTATTAGAAATCTGTAACATTATCTAGAAAACGTTCCTTAAAAAATCGACAGGGTTTACGTTGCACATCACCATGTTTTGTCGCTCCTTTGAAAAACTGAGTTAACTTAGGCCCAGCATATTTCGGTTTTTGATCATCTGGCTCATCGAATTCCATTTCAAATACTTTATTTGCCAGAGCGTTCTCTGCCGTTGACCAGCTGAAACGTACAAGTCTTGGGAAACCGAACACCATGTCCAAATTCTCACTGAGAAAACGTTTAGTGACTGGATCACCTGGATAGCCACTACCAAATTTGGCAGAACTCAACTTGATTCCTTCGGGAAACTTCCATACTTTTAAAGCGGTGTCGCGAGTGACTTTAGCGCAAATACTAGCGGCTGAGACAATTGGATAAGTAGAATCTGCCTTTTTAGCGACAGTAATTTTAAATTGTGGAAATATTCCTTTCAATTTTTCTTGATATTTTTCTGGGGGGCCAACAGTATCCACATACACCTCTGCAATATTCACTCCTTCCTCAATTGCACGTTTAATAAGTTCAATCGCTGATGTCATAGATACTTCATTGAGTGAACATTTTGAGCGTCGCAGCATGCTAGTGCTAATAATATTAGGTGAAATCAATTCTACAGACCAACCAACACAATTCCGTGCTGCTTTTGAAGTATTCAAATCATTAAATATAAACTCACGTTTTTCTTCTGTTAACTGTTTGGAGTCAGCACATCCTAAATCGATTAATACTTGCTTTCTATTCAATGGGCAGAATGCCATACCATAAACCATTGGACCGAGAACTGGACCACGTCCAGCTTCGTCTATACCCACCATACATGGTTCAGTCTTGCAAATATCGGGCAGGTCCTGGAAATAAACAATGTTTTGGGAATTATCTCGCGCCGCAATAAATGGTCCTAAAGTTTTCAGTGAATCAATTTTATCCACAACCACGTCGGATGCTGGCGCAAATCCATCACATTCAGCCTCTACGTCCCTTGTTGGAGATATTTCTTCTCTAACATCAACATCTTTCTTTTTATTCTCTTCTTTGATTTTTTCAGGTTTTGCTTTTATTTGATCTTCATTTGGTTCGGTCTTGATAATTTTTTTGGGTGGCTCCTCTTGAACAGAATCCATAACTTTGCAATAGAATGCGCTTTGTTATATGGTGGTACATAATTATATTGCTTGTTTTTTCGCGCCTTTTAGTTTGTTTACATTTTTTGTTTATGGTTGCCAATAAATTGCACTGCTGCATAACATATAAAACAAGTAAATTTTCTACTTCTAAATAATCTTTAAACATAAATAGCAATATTTATATTTGAGAAGAATTTATGAGTAGTATACTGTTAATAAAACATTATGTAGGCGCTATAATTTTTTAAGGAAATACCTTTAGGATTCTACTTGAGTTGGGCAGTTCTAGTGAACAGCTGCTTCTGTAAAGGCGAAAACTTGCAGGTGGTTACAATCCTTGCTTATATCCTGTTATAGCGGGATTCTGTAACCAGTCTCTAGTCTCTATTTGAGACATTTTGTGGTAAAATCTCAATTTGTGACTAGTTACTATTCACTAAACAGTCTCTAGCTTTAGTCTCAAAATATTGCCTCAAATTTGAGACTTGGTAGTTAGCAAGTCACAAAACCAAAAAGAACTTTTGTCTGCCATTTTGAACAGTCTGAATAGAGATCACCATAGATATTAATCGATTGTCGTTTTTTTATATTTTGTAAGCAACTCAAACACGAAAAGGTTAAAAATAAATAAATTTTACATAAATTTCGTTAATATTATGAAACAAAGTCAACATCTGTTTTTATTTTTATTGATAATTATGTGTTTTACTATGTTATAGAAAATTTAATATTTGTTATCGACATATTTATTTTCATTCAAGTATAAAAACATCTCTGAACAATGAAATGTAATAGAGTTTGTGACTATCACTTACAGAATAGCAAAATCGTCTCAAGTCTCAAAAATTGTCTCTGTCAAATTTAGAGACTTGATACTGTATCACAATACAGAATCGCACGGTTAGTATAATGACGTTCAAATAATGTGACGTTCAAGTACAATAATTACAATAGCTGATACTTGAAATTTTATTAATTTTTTTTATATTTACTTACGTATATAGTATATGTAGGAGATTTTGGATATTTGGTTTGAAAAATTAAAAACATCATTGAATTTATTCGTCGTTTAATTCCAATGGGATTAAAATCTCTCATATTTTAACTGAATGGTAGCATTGCAGTTCAGCTGATTTGTTTACAACTTACTTGTTGTTTTTGCATTTATGTTGACATATCATTACAAGGCGAAAACGGAATAAAGTAAATAAACAAATAAAAAATTTAGCGAAAAGTAATTACAATAAAAAATTGTGAAAGTAAATACCTAATTAATCATCTTTCGATGAATTCTAAGGAACTTTATTCGATACGAGAATGGGCACCTTTAACAGATATTATGGAAAAGATTCCTGTTCGTATGATACGAGCACTAGGCATATTCCCAGCAGATTTAAATATTACTTGTGTCGATGCAATTTCCGAATTTATAGCATTAGGCAGTGACGCGGGAATTGTTTTTTGGTATGACCGGTACACCGGTGAATTGCAGAAGCTGCGCACAGAGGTAAAGTTAAAAATTTTTTAAATTTAAAGGTATCCTTGATATGCCTTCCCATACCTTTACCTACGGTTTTAAATGACTCATGCACTGTAAGGATACACCCATATTTGAAGTTTGATTATATATAAATTGCGTGTCTAAAGTGTATTTACTTATTAACTAATCAATTCTAATGTCATGTGTACCGTTAATATAGTTTCCGGCTCGCATTACTTGTGTCAAAATTATTAGTTCGGTAGAGTATATGGTAGCAGCAGGAAATGGTAGTGGTCAAGTGAGTGTTTTTCAAATACAAAAACAACTACCACCAGATTTGAATTTGGTTGCACCATGCGCTCGAGCCAAGCCCACTGAAAGATACAATATACGTGACTTGCATAGCTGCGCCATAAGCTGTGTAGAATGGTCTAAGAACGGCATGAAACTTTATTCAGGTGATCGACAAGGCATTGTAGTATTAACCGAATTTGATTTTCAAGCGGTAAGTTATTTTAGTATAATGTTAAAGCTCTTAGGTATATTACCTTAGTTCTAATCTCCAGCACATCAGCAAATCGACTGAAATACTTAGTGAGGCATATGAAATCGTACAGCTTAGTGTTTTCCAGAGTTACTTGCTCGTGTCCACACTATATCGTTCCATTGCATGCCAGTTCAGTATTGTTACCGGGCAATGGGAAGTTACACAAGTTGGAAAGAAAGATCGAAAGGTTTTATCGGATTGTGGTGGCATAATCCTTAAACAACAAAACTGTCGTCCAGTCTTGATATGTGGCCGTCCAGGATTAAGATTTTGGATTGCTGACACCGAGGGTAATGTGGAAAAAACATTACTTTTTCGCGAAGCTGTAGCGCGTAGTCCTACCTGGGAAATACCAATACTTAATCCTAAATCAATGTGTTGCGAACGAAATATAACTTCCTATGCTAATTTTGCCGAAAACGACGAAATTAATAGAAGTTTTGGCGCATTACAACTGTATAAGGGCGATGATGTGCTGATCGTTACACATGACGAGTCCACATTGTATTTGCTAAATTTGGATCGTCTGCGCGTCGAAGCTGTGGCACGAGGTTTTCGAAAAATACTTGATTTTTGTGTGTGTGATAAGGAGATTTTCATTTTGGAAGGTACACGTTCTTTGCTTCGGCTGGCACCTATGCCAGAGAAGCCGAGTAAAAATGGTAATTAAATATCTACATTAAAAGTATTATTTTCAGTTTTAACAATATATTTTGTTTAGCCAAAATAATTTTCAATCCCTCAATGCCGCCCCCAGTTCCTTTGCTAGGTGCTTCAATCGCCGGTGCACTTGATTCGCCCGCTGAGTCGTTTGAACCACCCGAGCATCCAGTGGGTAAAGCGGAAGAATGTTTTGAATTACCGCCTATTGAGTTACTCAATTTAAATGTACCAATAGAATTGGCTGTAGAATCACCACGCGCTGAACAAAATCGTCGTTTGGAGATTTTTAATCAGATTTCTGAAATGGATTTCGACCAATCTATATTGCATCATAGCGGCATATCCCAAAGTGTTGGCGGTCGGAAAAAACGTACACGACGCTGCCGAGATCGGGAGAATGCTTTAAAGAGTAGCAGCAGCGAAGTTGCAGCACCAACAAAGTCACAGGGCATTGTAGAAATTGCTCATGTTGCAGAGCCAGAAACAGATTTGGAAACGTCAGTTAAAATCCTGACTGCTGTTGAAGTTGTGGAAACAAAAACCAACGTAAAGCATATAACAACTAAGCCAACATTAATGAGTAGTAGTTTTTGCGCAACCAAAACTTCAAAAAATAAAGAATGTAATCAAGCAAGGTGAGCATAAGAATATTATTTAAATTTTTAAAATATTACAATCTTTTATACCCGTACAGGGTAAATTAAGTTTGCAACGAAGTTTTTAAGCGCAGAGTTTTTAACCCCATAAAAATAAAGTATATACATATACATATATGATCAGTGTAACGAGCTAAGTCAATTTAGCTGTATCCGTTGTCCGTCTATTAGTGTTTCTGTATATAAGAGCGCGCCGATTTATTATGCAGGATATGTTCTATGGACTGAGTAGGCAATTGAGAAGCAAAGTCCTCTCTCGACAAACAAAAACCAAACTCTATAAGTCACTCATAATTCCCGTCCTGCTATATGGTGCAGAGGCTTGGACGATGACAACAACTGATGAGTCGACGTTGCGAGTTTTCGAGAGAAAAGTTCTGCGAAAGATTTATGGTCCTTTGCGCGTTGGCCACGGCGAATATCGCATTCGATGGAACGATGAGCTGTACGAGATATACGACGACAAGATGTGTATAAGAGACAGCGACGACATTGACATAGTTCAGCGGATTAAAAGACAGCGGCTGCGCTGGCTAGGTCATGTCTGTCTCTTATACACATCTAGATGTGTATAAGAGACAGAGCGGTGACTACGCCAATCAAGAAGAAGAAGAGTTCTATGGATCATTCGGAATAACTTTTCATAAGATACTATGAGTCTAAAACCGGTCCATTGTAGTTTGTTGAGATTTCCACTAGGAACTAATATAACTGTCAAACTAACATCACAAAATGTAGCTGTCATTTTGAGAATATTTTCTGTTTAAAGTGTACAAATAAACGTATTATTAAATTTTATTAGTATAATATATGTATATTACTTTATATCAAACAGCAAAACAAATGCAACATTGAAAACCAACTCAAATTGTGGTTCTCTATCGACACCATTGTCGCCTGCATCACCTGAAGCGGACAAACAAAAGGTCTCCATAAAACCCAAAAGTCTCGCTGAAGAACTAAACTTAGCTGGCATTTCATTTGGTCCTAAACAATCTAGTTTAGAATGTTCAATACCATCTCCAATACACTCTCCGCCTGCTGCACCGGCTTCCACTCCCACGCCAATTCCACTGAAAGAGCTCGCCCATGCATATCCCAAACAAACTAAAGTCGAAGATGCTGGTGTCCAGACAACGCCACGCAAAAAGCTCTACTTCATGGAGGAAGACGACGACGAGGATAATATTTACTCAGATTACAGCGCTGGACAACCAATCGATGAACTGTGTCATGCAGCTTTGCGTGCCGCAGCTCGAGCGGAGGAATATGAACAAGAAGGCGGGAGTGCCAAAGCGTTCGTTCCAGCCCAACGTCAAGTCTCACCTGAACATTTACAATTCGTTTGTACACAGCCCGTGAGTGAGGAGATTAATAGTTTCCTACCAGACTTTCGACGTGCATGTGATCCGTGCGCAATGCGGCCTAAGGTGCAGCAAAAAACTCCTCCACCTTCTGCCGATTCTAATGGAAGTTCCAGTGAATGGGAGTTTTTGGATAATTGAAATGATAACATGTTCTAAGTATCATTCCGTGAAGTAGAGATTTTTAACCATTACACATCACATATGAAAGTAAATCAGCTCGATTTCTAATAGTGCGGCCGACATTTTAATTATCAATATTAATATTATGTTTATCATTTTGGCGCTTTTGCACATTGGCCTATAAAATATCAATTTTAAATAACCAACATATGTATTATATTATGGTATATTGTATTGTCTAAACCTTTTATCTACTATTAGAGTTTTGTTCAATATTTTAGGAATTTTTTGTTTGCAAATTTTTAGCTAGAGCAGCATCGCTTATGCTTTATGAATCTGTTTGTTAGAAAAGCAACTCAAGTATGCATTTATTTGCAATTCGCATACATATGTAGGTATGTAGAAATCTATACCAAATAAAATTTATATATGTATATGCTTCATTATGTGATTTTGTATATTATATTATATATATAAAAATAAGTGGMAATTTAATGGTACGCTATAGCTCAAGAACCACTGAACGAATCACCTCCAAATTTTTAGAGTACCTTCGGGCCTATGAGTAGATGGTTTCTGTGAAGTTTGCATTGCATTGGACAAGTGGTTTCAAAGATATATGGTCTATTCTGAAATCTATCATGTTGCGCAAACTGCTTTTGCCCGACCAGCAGCACTGCAAAATGTAAGTATTAGAAAAAAGTCGCCGCTCAGCTAGCTAGCAAGACTGATGCATAACAAGATTGCGTCCATCAGACTGAAATTTCGTAGTGACGTCAGAGTAATAAATATGTAAATAAAAATGAATCGCCAAAATGTATGTACGCTCATAACTTTCATACGACTGAACCAAATTTGATAATCCTTTTTTAATGTGGCCGTTGAGGTTCAAGGATGGTTTTAAGTGTAAGAAAATTTCGAATAATTTCCAGGAAACCCCTAAAAACAGTCCTCCCTAAGAGAACGGCTGCAAAAATCTCGATGAAATTTTCAGAGGTTATTCGTTGTGGATCGGGATGGTTTAAAAATAAAAATACCTTATACTTTTCATGAGGAAAAGTCGGAAAATTGGATAGTTCCAAAAAGTAACTCTTTTCCATGCACATTTTTTTTTAAATTTTTGTTTGTTTTGTTTTTCAATATTTTGATTTGTGAATTATTTGAATCGTTCAATTTCGGTCGCTTGCTTTTTTATTCCGGCTATTTAAAAGAAGAATTATGAAAATTATTCACTGAAAACTTTACATATCTGTGTTTCACGCAAAGTGATCACTTGCAGATTGAAATTTTTTACGAAGCCACGAAGAGGTCGGCGTTTTTTTT